CATAGACAGTCTGATCCAGCACGGATCGGCTTAGGGATGTCCGGGGATGCCCACGGATCATTTTTCCAAGTCAGTCTGTCTAGACAACCCATCAGCGTTTCCGTTTTGTTTTCCCGGGCGGTACTGGATATTAAAGTCAAAGGGCTGCAGTGCCAAACTCCAGCGCAACTGCGGGGCATTGTCCCCTGCCACCCGGTTTAACCATATCAACGGGTTGTGATCTGTGAGCAACGAAAACGGCTGTCCATACAAATAGGGTTGTAATTTCTTCAGGGCCCACACCACGGCCAGGTATTCTTTCTCGATGGCGACGTAGCTCACTTCCCTTGGTAACAACTTTCTACTGATGTATGCTACTGGATGTTCTCCACCATCGGCCCCGACTTGGCTCAGTACTGCCCCCAATCCAAACATAGAAGCATCTGTGTGAACAAGAAAGCATTTAGTTGGATCAGGGGCTGCCAAGACAGGAGCATTTACAAGTGCATTTTTCAACTGTTGGAATGCCTGCTCACACTCCGGGGTCCAGGTTACCTGACGGGGAAGGTTTTATGGGTAAGGTCAGTAAGGGGTTTGGCCATGGCACTATAATTGGGCACCAATTTCCGATAATACCCTGCCGTCCCTAAAAAGGCTAACACCTGAGTCTTGGTCCTAGGGGTTGGCCACTGAGCTACGGCCTCTACCTTTGCGGGTTCTGGCTTCTGCTTTCCACAACCCACCCGGTGGCAGATAGCGGTATATCATGCGCTATCCGGAGTAACTCTGATCGGTACCGCAGCGGTACCACTAACTAGCGGCTGACGACCGGGTCTGACCTGTCTATTCTTTTCTCTGTTTCCCTGTACAAAAGCTTGCCCCTGCATGCCCTGAGGTGACCTTATCCCTATACACCTGCAATGTGGGATCGGTGGCTACCTCCACTTCAAATTCACTAGGGGGCGCCCAGGGGACACACTCTATAGATGGGGAAGGGTCTCTTACCTGAACCTCCGGGTGTGAGTTGTAGTCCTGAGTGCGGGCCTGCTAGCGTGGGACAACGGGGTTAGTTTCTCCAATAGCGGGTGCCTAAGGCTCATATGCTGAGGTTAGTTTTCCCAAGTCATTCCCCAACAAAACTTCAGCAGGTAGTTGCGGCATCAACCCCACCTCCACATTCCCGTGCCCTTCTCCCCAATTTAAATGCACTCAAGCTGTGGGCAACCATTATACTGCTACCCTTACGGCTACAGTTCTGCTGGTTCTTGCTTCATTGGGAACCAGGTGGCTTTTTACCAAAGTGATGGTAGCTCTAGAGTCGCAAAGAGTCCTTGTACTGCCTTTCCCTCCAGGTAGACTGTCTGCCGGTGATGTTGGCGGTTGTCCGTGTTGGCCTGAAGGGGATCAGCCTCATGCAGCACTTCCCACTGTTCAACTGTAGTGGCTGGTACTGCGGCATCATAGGGTACGGTGGTCTCTGCCTGGTAACAACGGGTTGTTGCTCTGGGTGGTGGTGGACCCGGCCGGATTCAGGTTGTTCGATCCCGAAGTTGTGGACAGTCTCTTTTGTAGTGTCCCCAGCGCTGACACTGATGACACTTGTTACAAAGGACTCGAAATGTCTCCATTATCGTTATTACATGTTGCTACTGTTACAACCCTATACGTTTAACCCGGGGAAACACGAATGGATTATACGAATTCTTATAAAGACCCGTTCGTAATACGAACGAGAGACCCCCCTAATGCTGGCGTGTGCTACCAATTAACCTCTTCACCCCACAAAGTACCGAACGGTCGACCACCCAACAAGCGGAGTGTGGCGCCCATTAACCACCCAGGCGTCTGCGGTCTGCGGTTAACCACAGACTAATTGACGGGCCAGGAGGATCGACGTTCGCCCACAAATCACCGAAGGGAACCTACCGAATAACCTTACGAACGGAGACCCCCTACAGTGGGTCGTGTGGCAGCAATTAGCCTGCGGTTTCTGCGGTTAAACGCAACTCAAGTACCGTGCTACCAGGTGGTCATCATTCATGTACCGAACGAATTCCACTACCAGACAGACAGCGGGGATTCGCATGGACTTATACCCGAGTTCAGTTCCATAAGTTGAAGGCGAGGTCCCGCTGCTCGGTAAACCGTCTAAAAACATGGCCGCCATCAGGGACTCACAATCCAAAATACCGAATGGACTTTATACGGCAGAAAGAGATCATTCTGTTCGTGGGATTGGAGCGCCATTCGTATGTTTAATGTATCCGAACGTGAGCTATTAAATGAATGGTAGAATGAGCTGGCTTCATTATCTCCAAGCTGGGCGGGTACTAATTCAAATGATACACTGTACTGTGATTGGTTACCTATTTGTACTGTACCTGTATTCCATCAGGTCCACAGGGGGCTGTCCTGGGACCTGAGGAATCGCATAAATTGCCATATTTGTGTGCCAGTAAAGCCAGTTAATTTTGACCCTCAACTTGCAGCCTCGACTCGTTGTAGGGATCCGGGATATTGATGCTTACACCGTGTTTGGGATATTCTACACTTGCAGCTTATTACCGAAGGACCTCCGTTCGACTCTCTACAGCGGGAACCAGCACATCCAAGCGATCAACCCCCCTGCTAGACCGGGGGCAATCGTAACAACACTGAATGGTGTTAGGCTGTCTGAACCGCTGTTGTGACGTTGCAGGTGCGGAAGCTGTTGCGGTGGGGCCGTTGGACCTGAAGTGTAGGTGTTAGTTACATTTGGGCGCTTTACCACTGTTTTGCCTGGTGCCGGTTTCTGTTGCCTCCGGGCATCCAGGTAGTCGTCCGCCCTCCGGGCTGCTTCGGTGAGGGTTGTAGGGTTGCGATCCCTTACCCACTCCTGTATTTCTGGTGGCAGCCCGTCGTAGAACTGTTCCAAAAGCACCATCTGTAGTAAATCCTCCATGGATTGTGCTTTAGTGGCCTGTATCCAGCCCAGGGCCGCTTGTTGTGGTCGACAGGCCCCCTCAGCATGAGAATATTTCCCAGTCTTTTTAAGCTCCCGGAACTGCCTCCGGTATGCTTCTGGTGTCATGGCATATCTGGCCAGTATGATTTCCTTAGCCTGGTTGTAATCCCTTAATTCCTCGTCTGGTACCATTCGGTACGCCTCTGCCGCTCTCCCCGTTAGCCGACATGCTAAAATGGGGACCCAATCCTCGATATTGATCTTATGTAGTTTACACAGTCTCTCAAAGTCCTTGAGGAATGCATCAATATCTTCCTCTGCTTCCACATAGGTTTTAAATGCCTGATACGGTATCTTTGGCTTGCTCTCCTGTACCATGGGCACTGTCTGGTTCCTCTTTGGAGTTTGCTGGATCCTCTGTCTTAGCACAAACTCCTGCACCTCCATCATGGTTCTGGAGATAATATCTGCTGGTGGGTTTTCCCCATAGAATGATAGCCTAAATTGCAGTTCTCTCTGAAATTCCAACCGCTCCTGTTCCTCAGATGGGTTCCTCTGTACCAGAGCCGAACCGCCCTCTGCTCTGTATTCAGCCATGACTTCCGCAACCAGAACTGCCTTAGTCTTATTGCTAGCGGAGATACCCCTTGCTTCCAGAAGATC